GACAGTGATATACTCGATAGCGCATAACTTTGGAGCCTCATTTCAACAGAAATCACGTGTCAAGCAAAATTGGGAGGAAAGGCGATTTAAGTGACTTTGAATGCCTCCTTTTTGTTGGTGCCAGACGGGCTTGTCTGAGTATTTCAGAAACTGCTGATCTGTTGGGATTTCCCCACACAACCATCTCTGTGGTTTACATAAGATGATCTAAAAGCAGCAGTTCTCTGGGTGAAAATTCCTTGTTAATGTCAAAAGTCAGAGAAGAATGGTCAGACTGCTTTGAGCCGACATGAAGGGAAAAATAACTTGTTACAACCAACGCACCTAGAAGAGCATCTTAATAGAGGAGAAGACTACATCAGATATCACTCTTGTCAGCTAAGAACAGGAAACTGAGTCTACAATTCACACCGGCTCACAAAATCTGGACAACAGACGGTTGGGCAATTGTTACCAGGTCTGATGAGTCTTGCTTTGAGCTGCAACATTGAGATCAAAGGGTCAGAATTTGGTGTAAAGAACATGAAAACATGAATCCATCCTTATAGGATCGCATTAGATCAATGCTTCAGGGTGCTAATGGTGAAATATTGTTGCCGACCATTTCCATCCTTTTATGACCACAGTGTATACGTCTTCTGATGACTGCAGAATAAAACAAAGTGTAAAAAAGGTTAAATCATCTCAATATGGTTTCTTGAACATGTTCACTGTACTCTGGCCTCTACAGTCACCAGACCTTAATCCAATAGAGCATCTTTGGGATGTGTAGCTGATAAATCTGCCATGGACCAAAATCTCTGAGGAATGTTTCAGCCACTCTGTTAAATCTGTCCCATATAGAAATACTTCGGGGTGGCTGTAGCTTAGATGGTAGAGCAGATCATTTACTAATTGGAAGGTTGGTGGTTCGATCCCTGGTTGCTTGAGAAATATCCAAATATACTTGGGCAAGAAACTAACCCCAAGTTGCTTGTGAGTGTTAACATTATATATAACGGAGTATAGGAATAGGTGAAATAAGTATTGTCACCCTTTGAGTCCTTAGGTGGAGTAGAAAGTACTACACAAGAAACAGTCCATTGCTTCTCAGTACTTCCATACTAAAACAATACGGGTTTATATCAGTTTTTTAGAATTCATTCCTCCATAATCATTCTATCCACTTTGTGCAATGTGCCAATACCACTGGCAGCAACACAGCCCAAGAGCATGATGCTACCACCACCATGCTTGACAGCATGTTCTCATGTTTGAAAGCCTCACCTTTACCCCTCCAAACATACCTTTTGGAGGGAAAATGAGGAGAGGCCGCAACAAACGGAGGCTTTATCGGAGCTGCTAAAAAGGCAGCAGACCCAGCTGAGACTAACCGATCAAGAGGGACGCTTAAGAAGCGAGACTGATGGACTGAGCAGTAAAGGAAAGGAAACCCAAAGAACAAACTTGGTTTAATTATGCAAATAATCTAAATCTTGGGCCCATAAAAGAGGTCAAAGTAACAGAACTCCACTCAAAAGC